TGCAGGAGTTGCACCAGTTTGGTGCCAAGTGACACCACGACTGGTACAAGTGTCAAGTTCACATCTTGCTGTGCATCTTTCGCTTTTTGTTTCATTTCCTGAGTTCCGTGTGAATTTATCAAGTTATTTGGTCTTTTGGAATATTTAAATATTTATGTTGTTCAATTTCAGGCATGAACAACTTTTATGATAGGAAAGATAGGACATTATTCGTGTCGATGATCCACAAATCCATCACGGATGACGACCTTTACGCACTATTGAGTCGTGTAAGTGCTCTTAACGATCTATTAAGGAATAACTTGGGAAAATAAGTTTCTGTTCAGGCTGGTCCTATAGAGAAAGTCATTTTCAAAGAAAATCAGGATGGCACTCCATTGCACGCTCTCGTCATCTTCAGAAATGTCGAATCTGTTGTCTTTTCAATGATCCATATCCTTCCAATGGTTCGGTCATCAAAACTGATCGAGTTGCGCCCATTACGGTAAGCCTAAGCCTGTTGAGTTGTGCAGATTGCTCGCTAGTAACGTCGCGCATCTGCTTATAAGGGCCAAATTTTTGCATATTGAGAACCTGCCAGTTCACAGAAGAGGTGGATGCTTTGTACAGGGGCAGTGGCTTGTAGCGTTCTGGTCTTTGGCCCCTTCCTGTTTGCCCTCTTTTTCTGAATAACTTCTCTGCCTACGGCTGAGTTTCGAGTTCTAGGCTTAGTCTGATGTCCTCTGAAGAACTACCGACTGAGTCGCGCGAATCTGAACGCAGTTGCCACATCGAAGAAATATGAATGTATTGCGTGTATTCTTGGATAGGGTACTAGCTATTCAGGTGCTGCAGAGCACAAAGTATTTTCCCGTAAATGAATGAACACCCTATACATAACCTCAAAGCTTGCAGTTTTTCTGCATACATTCGAAGTTATGATACGCGAATTCTGTCACTGCGTTTTCTGTTTATTGAGGTTGCTATGAAGCTGTTACCCTGCAAAGAATTATGAACCGTTTTCAGCTATGTTCTCTGAAATGATACATGTTTTTAGTGAGAGCTCACTCCACTACTCGTTGACACCAAGCTCTCAGCTCAGCACAGCTCCGCTGACAGAGGATATGGTATCAAAGGAGGTGACACAGCCATCATATTTCAGCCACAGCAGCAGCGTTTCTCCTAACTGGAGCGGAGGAAATTTACTGAATTCCGTGCATGACAAGAGTCCCATTCTTCACGTGGATTGCAAGATGTGAGAACTTCGACTTATTCAATTATAGTTATTTATAGCGATTGTATCTAACAAGGCAGAAGTGGTGTAGTGGCAAGTGAAGCACTACTCTGTGGAATAGTAAAACCTAGTATAGGTCACGTACTCGTTCAATTCGCAACTAAGATTCTGAGTGAAAGTCGAATGCGGGGCGCACTCCATTATGAGTTACAGTACTATTCCTGACTTGTAAAGTAGACGTGGACACGTGCAGAGCCTTATGCATTAGTTAGGGCCCCGCAAGCTAGTGCATAAACCCCTTGGCTCTACTTATGGTTGGCAATCCATACAGTTGCTCATTCAGAATATTTTAGAGCAAACTGATTGAATGCGACTTTTATTTCGAACCTGCTTGTGAAGAGCTGTTAGATCTCCACAGTCTCTTTGTTTCAGCGGGCTGAAGACGGCGCCTAATGTTTACACTAACCGTCTTTACACAAATGATCCCTTATCTCAAAACCTCAGTGCTGCAGCCGGGTCGAGCTTTCATGCTAATTATCGTCATCTGGAAGGTAAGAGCGCTACTTCGTAGTGTTTGCTTTTCATTTAGTGATGATCTCGAGAATTTTTTAGAACGTCCATTATAACAGTTTAGGACCAGCTCACTTCAATGCATATCGGTCGTCGACGTGATGGACAACTACACAAACTTAGTTGGAGTTGATTCTCGAAAACTGTTGTGCTATTTCCTACAGTAAGTGTTTTTCACAAGACCTCAAATTCATTTATCTTTGTGGCAGCATCGTTAGGAAGTCAGTACTCACTCTAGTCTACTTGGTTCGATTGATATATAAAACCTCAGTTTGTTTCGGAAATATTTCAAATTGCATGAAGAATTCACCAGNTTTTTAACGGCAGTTTTTACAAGCATGAGCAATCCTATGTTCTGTTAACGTTTTGAAGAAGTATTTGTTTCCTTACATCTCTTGTGAACTCTACTCGTCGCCATTTGGCCAGCTTGTAGAGTGAGCTGTGTCTTCTTCGTTTTAGCACGCGAAGTACCACCCAGTGAAAATCACCCTGTAAATAAATATATACACATGACAAACTTATCAGTTAGACCCTGTGTCATTTGTTCAGTTTGTTTCACCGCTTCCAAGTGTGGCATGTTGAGTTTAGTTATCCATTTGAAGTTTGTTCAAGTTCTTCTCTTATCTGGCTCCGGATTTCATTGTGACATTGGTTCATTTTTTATTGTTGCATTTGTTTGAGGCTGTCTCTGGCAGCCACCCTAGTTTTATTGTTTACTGATCGTCTGTTTGTGTTCAACATGAAACGTCCAGTTCTTCCATGGATGTTTATAAATGGTTGTCTTGACTTAGATCTCTTTGTTTCTGTTTTATTGTTTTACCATCTGGATCTGTTGATCAAGGCACGTTCAGTTCCTGTACCATCGTTTTAGACAATGAATTGTGTGAGATCAAACGAGCTACCCACATTTGAAGGAAAGCTAAAGGCAACATGAAAACAGTAGTTCTATACAATTCACCACTCAGCTCGCCCGGCTGACGCCGGTCTCCCCTCTTTCTCATGTTAAAATGGCCTCCCCGCCTGCATCTTTTNTTTTCAAAATTGGAGGCTTCGTTAGATGAGAACAGGAGTCATTCATTTCCAGCCAAACACAAACACCCAACACAATTCGTTCGCACCCCGTCCGCCATGACCAAACCTCCTTAGGTTCTGTGTGTTTGAGTAACTCAATTTATTCCGACTTTTTAACCTTGGTTTCGAACTTTCGCTTCAAGTCTACCTTAGCATTTTTTGCCCACGCCTCGCCTCTTGTGAGCGGAGTTACGTCCTGCCGCCTGACGTAGGTACTCCCTTCCTGCCGCCTGTATTTCTACCGAATATGAGCGCTCTAGGTCCAAGTTAAGATTTTTCGCACAAATCCCGCCTCATGTGGGTGGAGAATGAAGTTTCGACCCACCATAAGTGTTTATATCCTTCCGCCTGCACACCCGTGGAATTCTAGGTCCACGGGAACAGGAGCTATGAATTTCCACTCAAGCCCGCCCACGGGCCCACTGTGGGCGGAGTCCGGTCCTGCCGTCCAACATAAGTGTTTCCATCGTGCCGCCTTCCCTCCTACCAAATTTGAACGCTCCAGGTCAAAATTTAAGTTAAACACACAAACCCCGCCCCTTGTGGGCGGTGACCGCTTCTACCACCCACCATGAGCTTCCCCATCCTTCCGCCTGCACACCTACTAAATTTGAACGCTCTAAGTTCAAGGGGGCAGGAGTTATGAATTTCCGCACAAACCCGCTGACCCTGCGTGCGGTGTCCGCTTCTACCATCCACCATGAGCCCTGTACTCCCACCTAATTTGAACGCTCTAATTCCATGGGGCAGGTTTGTGACTTCTCCACTAACCCCGCCCCATGTGGGCGGAGTCCGGTCCTGCCAGCCATCATTTTCGATCTAACTTACAAATGCGCACCTCTAATCACCTTTACATACCAGTTTTGAAGCCGTCTTGTGACTGGATTTGAAATCAAGGTCCTCAGTACAGCTAATTTCGACACGCTGGGCGGGGCTCCACCAAGCTGGTGTGTGCTTTTTACTTCACGGGACATGGCCCACCATCCCACGCTTGCCCCGGTCTCTCCAGGCAAATCTAAAGGAGCTAAGGAATTTCGTCTCAGACGTACATAATGACAGACGACAGAACGGCAGAACGACAGAACGTCAGACGAGGCGCTTTATAGTAAGTAGGATTCCCCAAGACTTGGTTACAAGGCAGCTCATCGCAACTCCTAAGTTTGTAGTGCGCAGTAGATGACATGACCCTGGCAGATGCGAGTATGATTCAGCGTAAGTGTTATTTTTTGAAGATATTTTTTTAAGTCTTACTACAGTTAAGAAGAGAATTTCAGAGGAAACTGTCTTGGTCAACTTATCTATGAGATTGTTGACCCATGCACAAAGAATGAGGACTGCAAATGTAACAATTGTGTTTGTAACAGTGAGGAAGCCCACTGTATTGTCCCATGCCAACCATTGGCAATAAACCTCCGTGATCACATGTTCTGTACTTGATTTGCAGTTTTTGATCTCATAGTCCCCAGAAGTATTCAAGTCACCTTTCTGAGTGTAGTACAAAGAGGATATAAGCGTTCTACAATACAGGGAAGAAAAAACCTTCCTCTCATTTCAATTGTATGTTCATGAAGAGCTTTCGAAGCAAGCACAGCTATTGAGTGAGTTGATGCTATTGGGCAGTTTTTTCAAGCTGAAGCAAGCAAAGAAACTGAGAAGATATGCAGTTCCTATCTGTCGTACTTTCCCCTGGCTCTTCTACGTTCATTTTTGTGATATTCAGTGCTTTCGTCCGGGGTGTTTTCGGAAAGATCCTCGACTACGCATCATTCTCGGTGCCGATACTTCTCATTCTCTTTCGGTGGCTATAGTAAATGTGTACTGAATATGAACTAATGAAGATATTTTAAAAATGAATTAATTTCCGTTCACGATCCTCATCCAGCGATCTGTCTTCTCTGAGATTTTGGCAACCCTTGATGAAGCTTCCCTAACAGTGTGCCTCCACCCTCCTCTCACAGATTCTTTCTCGGGACTATATTAGACCGAAGGGTATAATCAAGTGACTCGCCTACCCCCTGTGTTCCGAGCTTTTCCAATATTCACTGTTTCTTCGATCAACGAGATCGTCTGGAAATCTGCATTAACGGTGAATCCATCCGTATTCGCTCGGGGTGCGCTTCGTTGCGCGTGTCCGTCGAAACTAGGTCACGCCGCAGCCGTCGCATGCGGCGGGTCAGCCCGCGATACTTGACAGACGTCGCAGCTGTAAGCGGGGCGTACGATTTGCGCTTTCTCCACGGTAGTCAGTCATAGAGAACATAACAGACAAATGCAAATCGTTCGCTCCACTCACACTTGGTGGTACTGTAATGTCATCTCGAGACCTCAGTGGAGTGCGCCGCGCGCGAAGTGGGCGGGTGACCTACTTTCGACGTACACGCGCAACGGACGTTCGCCGTCCGCTCGTTGTCCGTACTCTCTTTCAGAGCGCTCTCTCGTCAAGGGTAGACATTCGAAAGGGCCCAAGAGAAGAAGAATTTTCAGGAAAACAGTCTTCTTACAACTAAGGAAACTTCGTATTTCGAAGTCCAGGTAGTCTGAGAGAAACAAAGGCTTGATCCTTGTCTAAATATCACTAACCCGTCTGCATAGAACATCTGCACCGAAAAAAAATCTGTGTGACTTGTGTAAAATCCAAACTTGCAAGCGCTTTGCAACTTTGTTTTGTAAGAAACAGCGCTGAGATCAGCAATATTGTGTGGAGATCTCCAACATCATTGATTCAATCTTAACCCAGCGGTGTTCGCTAAGTATCCTATTGTATCACTAGTAATAGGAGGCATTGAGGAATGGCGAGCTCTTTCGTCTGTCCTCTATCCTCTTCGCGGTGAGGTGCCTATTTGAGGAGGCGCAGAAAAAACAACAAAAACGCTGAGTCACTTCAAACGCGGTTGACAACGGTCCTGTGACCCACATGCATTGAGTGCACTTACACTTCACATCTTACTTTACGCCTCTTTTTGATGATGGTGGGAAAAACAAATTGCTCGTTCCTTCTCAGGCTTTTTCTTCCTAGATGAATGTACACTGTAATAATGCTCTTTATTTCAGGAACAGTTTGAGTTGAAGGGTATATGGATTGCCAACATATGGTGTTCGGTTTCAACATATAGTTGACTCTTGTGCCAGTTTACATTCACAGATACCTCTCTATAATATCTAAAACCGATATGGTTCGGTTGTGTAGACTCGTGCAATACGTCGTTCCACTCCAAATATGTCCACCTTTTCCGTTTTACAATCAATACCGACCGTTTCTAGGAAAAATGGTCAACTCTAACACAACGAACGACCTTGAGCTGGTCCTGGATCGTATTCCCATAGAATATCCGGCCCTCGTGATGGAAACCTTTCTTTCAAGTGGGTACTGATGAATTTTCCTTGATGTGGTTCCTTCATCAATAAAAATATTGTTGGAAGAATTTCTTTCTGTCAATATCTTTTCGACAGGCAAGAGCGAAATCCGCGACGACTGTGCCTCCCTGGCTGATGGCTATTGCTGGATGGTTTCCAAGCATAACATATTTGTTTGGAGTGCGACTACGGTGAGTATAATTTGGATTGTTATTGGTGCCGGTACTCTTCTTCGTTCACATGCTGATAACTAGCACTATTCTGAATTGCTGCTAAATTTGTTAAATTGGCAGGTTCCACGATATAACCCAGCATATACGCTTCGACTAAGTTTCGAGGAAAGGTTGAAATCTCACCGTTAGACCCACGACACTTATACATTAGTGTTACTGTCTGTGGATTGACTTGATGTTCATATTGACTTCTCCTCGGCATGCGGAACGTCGCACAGGGATTGTGAGTTGTTGCAGAAATTCGGCCATGGTCTGGGGCCTGGGTTTTCACAACTCGCCATCCTTGTGAGTCTCTTTAAATTAAGATTTCTGAACACTAAGTTATTGATGTTTAGCATAACCAGAGTTCATTCAACGATTCCATGATTTGGAATGCTTTCAAGTATAGAGTGAAGAAGGGTCTTTTGCCTGTGAGCCTATCCTCAAAAGAGAGTAGCTCCTCACCTACTCATATACGCCAAAGAGTAGTACATGTAGAAACTTGACTAGCAGATTGCTAATGACACAAGCAATGCTGCATAAGGGGCAATAATTGGATATTAGGAGGTCATAGGTTTACATAATACTCTTTAGAGAGCGAAAAATGGGCAAATGACTGAGCCGTGACTGACTTGGTTGCGTCATACTTTAATCGATCCTTCCTTTTCCTTTTATGTTTGTCTTTCAGGAGAGCGATTCTGGAAGGAGCGCTGTGCAACTGCAGCTGCCCCCATCAGGACTCCCTTATTCAGCTAGATCCGTTGTTGTATACAAGAACAGTACGTTCGCCTTTGCCGATTTTACTAGTTCCCGACATTTACTATCAAACAGTTCTTCTTAAGCTCGCGGTCGTCCTCCCGGGCTTCTCGTAGTTTCCGGAGAAGGAGTCGCGCGTCATTGGCCCTCTGTAACTTCCTCGATTCACAGCGAGACTGTAATCGACTTGGCGAGTGAGGTCACTTTATCAGTGCAACTCTTGGAATCGTCAGATATCGGTGAATTTTTGTTTTTTTTTTTTTGAGATTCTCTACTAATCTAGTACTTTTCTTCAAGTCAACGGCTTTAAGAGACTTCGTTCATACTGACGACAACGTCAGGCTCTGTGTATTTGCTATCTGGCGGCACTGTGCGAACGCGGGGTATTCAATGGATGAAAATTGGATCGAGGGAAACACGTGGAATAGGAAGGCGCTTGTCGAATATCATTTTCGGTTCGCAGGGCTCTTCTACGGACAGGTATATGCTGTTTGCTCTTGGCTTTTACCAATTGGACGGTTTTAACTCCTCTTTGCTTCAGCTCACAAGTTCTGAACTCGCTGATCTTTCAAGGAGAATCTCAGGAGGATAGCGATGTCAGTTTATTTTTTATCCATATTTGCTTCACAGATTAAATTAAACCGTTGATCAGATCACGAATACGCATTGCGCAAAGATGCGTGGAGGGTGGAAACAATAACTACTCATGTTGCTGTTTCAGCTCCCTGAGGCAATGGTTGTCACAATTTCTCCAAGCTGTATGAACTGTTTTGATGTTGATAAGAAAAGCTTGCTATGGACTGTCAACATTCGTACTTTTTTGGAAGGATACATCACAGGGTTTTTCGAAGTAATGCTGAACTCTATAATACGCTTTTGTGTGGTCCTTTTCCACCATCATTACCTTCTCCGATTTGGTCGCGAGATCACCACTCAGAATGTCCTTTTCAGCGGTCTTCACGCGGACGGCCAGTTGCCGGTGTGAGTGTATGGTTACTAGATGCAGCGAAATTCCGGGGTGGAATGCTTTTATTATTAGCGGGGAGTCATGATAATACACTCAATGTCTCTTTTTTCCTGGGTATGAGCTTCCTATAACGGAATAATGTACTCAAAAGCGAATTGATTTTGCATTTCTAGCGACGACTCATTTTGATGATGCTGCTCCCGTTGATGTGGATTGGTTCTCAGTGATACCTGTTGGGAGAGGACACGCGGACGACTTTAAGGTAAGGTTATTTGATAATTCGAAGTTTGAATATTCTCAGCACTGCTGGTCCGTCATTTTTTAGTTCATTTTTATTATACAAATATATATCTTTTATCGCTAGGCTGATGAGGAATCTGATTTCGTTGGTCGTGTGCTTCTATGTGTACCTGGACTGACTGCCAACTCATCTAGTTGTGAAAAAACCGATGGAGTAATAATTCTTTATCCGCACTTTGGTAAGGTTTAATGTTCTATTCATTTGAATTGCGGGAGCGATTATATGGTGTTAGTTGTCCTAGCAGTATGAGCTGAGATGAAATACACAAGTTTCAGTCCAATCCGTATACCCACCAGATCACATGGGTAGACACAATGAACTTCCACTCAACAAAGTTCTGAGTTTTCCTATCGGTGCAAAGATAGTTGGGCATGGTTAGTGAATTTACTCGAATCGCTTCTCTCAGGAATACCCAAGTAATGCTTTTTTTGAGATTTCCGCCCTATGTAAAAAGAATTTAGCTTGTGATGATCGTTTTTGCTACGTGATGACTGTCGAAGGTGGTACATCATGTGTTCGCCTTTTACCGAAGTGGGTTTCTTTCGCTTCAATCCGTTTCAAGCTTTTCACAACCAAATTAACAGATAATAATTCTCTCTTGGCGCTAGTCCTTTTGCTGGTCATCTCTCTCTCTGAAAATTTGTAGCTGCTCAAACTTCTCACCATTGCAAGCAAAACGTGCTTATACTGAACTCTTCACTGAGTAATCCATTTCTCTCTCGTTCTTCGGTTCCGTTCAATTACTTCGTAGCTTGTATATAGTTTGTCGATCTAAGGGTCATATATAGGGGTGTGTGGAGGAAAAATAAAGAGGATGTCGACTGCGCAACATTTGAGGCGTTTTGAAGCACATTGTCATAATCGTGGTTTCTCATTCAGCAAGTTGAGTAAACGCTTGTTCTGCATCTTAATTTTACAGTTGTGTTCGCATAGTCACGATATTAGGACTTCCTGTATTTTGCAGAGGTTTCGATGATGATTTGAGGGATGATAAAACTTTTATCGATGATCTCATGGATATCAAGGAAAGTGTGTCTCAGGATGAAAAATCATTACCACTTTTCATCTCGGCGTTCGCGTCGTTTGTGGAAAAAAACATTGTAAGTTTATTTTCGAAAAGAGAATAGCCTTGTTCTCCCTTCATACATACTCCTGTTGTGTACGAGAATTCAATGGTACCAGAAATGTGGTGTGCATTAAAAGCCTGACGGATTTTAGGTCAGCGCATGTGAAGTTATGAAAAATCTCTTGAGCAAGAGTGATGCTGACCTAACAGCTTTGGTGCACGCCTTTTTAAAGACTATGATTGATCAGCCAAGTTAGTGATTTCTTTATTCCTAATCTGTAAAATATCCCTCTATGAGTTGATGAACGATTTGCAGTTGCGTCATCTCCTGAAGTAGAACTGAAGCGAAAGAAAATTGTATGTAATCGTGTTGTCTTGTTTTTGAAGCATATGGATATTTACGATCGGGTGAGTGATATGATTCTTTTGCTCCCTATTATGAACTTGTTGTTACATTAAATTGTGCATAAATAACAATCACATTGGTAGCTTCTATACTGAAACTCGTCTGAATTACTTTATTGGTAGCTTCCTGTTCAGCTAACCTTCCTTCGCTTCAGCTACTTAGCGCGTATACATCTGTGCTATATCACGTTATGTCTGTAGACAATCCCATCCATCTTAAAATTTTGCTACTTAAGGCAGTCCCTCCTCATTGCTATGCAACAAGTAATGTGTCTCTATATCTAATAACTTCTTGAACCTCATCATCTTTAAATTTTATTTCGTTTTTGTTAATTTTCTTCATTTTTCTTGTCGTTTTTGCTTCTTTCCCATACTCCATTTATACAGAGATCCTTCCATTTTTTCCTAGAATTGAATCTTGCCTTCGATCCTCCCTTTGATTGGGCATGTTTTTGCCTCCCCTCCCCCTCTTTATCTCCTCCTTTTTACTCTAATCCAAATCCCATGTTTATTCAAATGTAACTTCTTTCTGTTGCTTTTCATTACGCATTCATTGCAATTTTTCGCCATGGCAATTTTGACATAGATTGTCCTTTTTATCACTTCATATTCACTAAATATGTTCTTCACGGAATAATGCTGTGAACCACAGCTCCAGGGTTTCTAACATTAGTCAGCATTAAGGTCGCAACAACGAAAGTGCTCATTTCTGACCAACGGAATTCTCGAACTGGTGCTTCTATATTGGATGAGGTTTGTCTGGCATTCTCAGAGTTTTTCGATGAATCCATTTGCTCACTGCACAACCCATAATAATGTTCATAGATCATATTAATTCAATGTGAGCTGGTGCTGCTATGGCTTGGGGCACCATTAATAGAATTCCTTTATCTTAGTTTTAACTCTTGAAATGATTTAGATGGCGGAACGAGTAGCTGTAGCGATAGCATTGCGCAGCTGGGAGACAGCTCGGGAAGATCGCGCCGAAATATTGGAACAAATCACTAAACGTCTGGCGCACATCACAAATAATCAGGGCGACTATGACAATCTCCTGTATTCTACGGTGAGTGTGTGCCAGTTCTAACAAGACAGATTTGTTGGTGGCAAATTTCCCTTCCTTCTGAAGTGTTCGTCTGTTCAGCTTTCTTCTATTCACCTACTACCTACAGCTTGTGCAGAAACTATGCGTGAACTCATGAAGCGAGCTGTTGATAAAACAGCAAAACGTATAATGGTGCATCTCTGCTCCGACTTGATGCTTACTTTTGCTGATGCTATCGAGATGTATAGGAGGTTGGTTATTGTCCGTCTCTATTCAGTTATTCATACCTTGTGTGTTTCTTTCTCTGCGATATTTTTGTTCGAACCGGCTTCTTAAATGAGTATTTGTTTGAAGGACATCATCAAAGCAAGCTGGTTCGAGATCTGACGCCCAGTGGACAACCGGAGCTATATCTGATGCTTACTCTGCAGTGGTTAGTTGAATTACGAACTATGGGCGTCATACTGGGCGGTTTTCTTGCATTTGTATAACTCTTTCCATGTTCAGTGCAAAATTTTGCTGAAGGAGATGGAATCGCTCGATCTACCCCAGTCTGAGAAAGCACGCTTGCGAGACTATGTCGTTCGGTTTGTGATACAATATTTTTTCTCCTTGATAATCTGGTTTCACTGTTTTTCAAGTTGGCTGTTTTGTTAATAGGGATAGTATGTGTGAGTCCTGGTATCCCTGAAGGATGACCCGGGTATGTTTTAGGTGTTTCCTTTTTGATCTCAAAATCATGTTTTGGTTTATGAGTATTTTTGTGTATGCCATAACTTTACAGCATGGCAATATTCCATCTAAGCGAATGCAATGAGCCAATTGATGGACATGAAATTATAATTGCCCTGTACAATGTTGATGAGTGTGACGTGGCTGTGGAACTGGCTGAGAAATTCAAGGTTCCTTATCTTGTGATCTGGTCATTCTTATTGATGAACCCACTTCACTTACCTTCTGATCTATTTTGCTGACAGGATTTCAAAGTTTTGGTGAAAGTATGTCTCGATCTGGATGACTCTGAACGACGTGCTAAGCTCGATGCTTACAAGAAACGATTTGCTACTGATGAGTTTGATATGTATCTATGTCGATATCTGAAGCAGAAAAGTGAGTTTACATTATTACTTTCTGCTTGGCTCGTCAATGTTTAGTAAAGTATCATTTTTTGATAAACAAGTGTCGGAGACGCTGATATTATTGTTCTCATTTGCTCAGATCTTCATGAGCTGCTTTTGGAGGAGAAGGGAGAACGTGTTGACCATTATCTCTCTTCGTGCGAAGGAATTCGTTGGAGAAGAGAACTCCAAAACAGACAGTTTGAAAAGGTTCCTCTAGTTTAAAAAGAGTCAACTTAGTACTTTGTCAGTTTTTTCTCGGTCGTGAATATACTCTATCGTTATTGATCCTCTCTGAGGTACCTTAGAGGTTTCCTTAGATTAGTGCCAAGTCACTCTTACAAATCAGTTTTTGAGTTTTTTTNTTTTTTTACGAGGTAAGTTTTGTTAGATCTTCCAGTTTTTCTTTTGCTGACGCGTGTTTTTAGGCTTCCAGAAGCTTGCTGAGTCTGGCTGATCGTGAGAATTCAGATGTTAAGCGACAAAGAGTACGTTGTGCTATACGTATACCTATCATTGGAATTTTTGGGCCCTTCCTATTTCACTTACGAATTTCGACAGTTGAGTCTTTCAGAGCCTTTACGCATTCGCGAAGCTGGCTGCCGCCTGCAAAGATGCCACCGCCGAAGATGTTGTTAAAGAAGCCAACAGGAAACTAGTACTTATCAAGCACCAGTCGTTAATACCAGAATCTTTGATCAAGGTGAATTTTTGTGAGCGTTATTGAGTGGGTCATTGCCCTGATAAATTGTTTTGTTGAGCTGTTGTGGAACAGCTTTTCGCCTTGGGTCTGTTACCTGGGGCTTATTTGCGTTTCATTCAGACTGTGTTTCCTGATAATCCTAACCGTCCACTGACTGCACTGGAAATAATCGAGTTGAATATGCTTGATACCGAAATTGTTGAAGGGCATAGAAGGTTGGTATTGAGAGAACTCTCCATTACGGTTCTTCTAGTACTTTTTCTTGTACATATGGCTATTCTAAACTATCCTCGATCGTTTGAATTTATTGTTGAGAATATTACATATCCACATCCACAAATTTTTCGCTATCTAATTTGCTTTAACCTCTAGTTTCTTATTCACATCTCATCTGAAAGCAAGACCGTAGGAGGAAGATGGTCTTTTCATATTTCGATGGTTCTTGCCCTTAGATTCTATCTTCTTCAATGTAATCATCCGTTGTGAAAATGCTAAAAAAAGACGTCGAGAACAGGATATGAACTGCCGAAAGGTTATGGTGCTGCTGTGACCATACTAAACTTTCTTGTTGCTTTCACAGAATCCCCTTGTATATTCTGAAAAATCGCCTTTTTTTTTCTTCTGAGACTGGCTCTCTCCGCTATTTGCTGCCCTCACTTTTGCTTACGTTCTTTAAGGGCTCTCTACCTTGTGGCGAGGCTTCTTCAAGATGAAGACAGTGCAGAGTTGCGTACACAAGTGAAGAAAATTTGGAGCTCTGTTGTGAACAGCAGCGAATGGAAAAAGGTTTGCCGCATTATCTTGCATCATTGAATAGATTGATTATCGAGGTGGTACTGCACAGTCAAAGGTAGAGTTAAGCAAGGGCTCACAAAAAATGACCTTTTTTNTTTTTTAAATCTAATTTCCTAATACAGCCTTCTGTCGGCTTCCGCATCACATGGAATACCCTGGTCGAAGCCGGTTTGATGTGATGATGTCAGACATTTTTTTCCAATTTGCGATTTTACTCTTTTTCGGAGTTCTGGAACTCTTGTCTATTTCTGTATAACAATTTCGAGCTAATATGATGCGTAATTTATTCTGACTTCGTCGTGAATATTGGCCTTCACTCGTTTAGTTTCCACTTAGCTGGGGTTTTCTTTGTTGAATTTAGTAATTGGTATCAGGACTACTAATGTTAGACCTTACCCTTTCCCCCAACTGTTTTTTTTGTCAGCTTTTACTCTTACTGCAGAAGTTTTATTCAATTAACAATCGCAAATTTTTAGGTGACTAACCTGTTTGAAGTTGCGGAAACTCTCTTTGGTGGGGTTCTGAAAGTTATAGCTGACGAAGGTACGTATTCTCACTCAACTTGCGTTAAACGAAAAATGGACAGAGTTGTGTTTCAGTTGATCCAACGGAAACCTTGTTGCAAGTACTGCCACCCATTGATGCTCTTTTGAGGGAATGTAAGAAGGTATCTTTTAGAATTTGCTAGTTTTTATTCTAATAGCTTATTTGATTTGTGTTGGAACAACTGAGTTCACTAGAAAACGTCATTTGTAAGGCTTCAAAATTCGTTTTAAATCGCAAATCGCCTTCGTGCTTTTTTCCCTCTACGATAGATAAACTCCATGCGGCAGAACACCACTGATGTATAGAACTTTTTTGGAGCACATTTTCAGTTCTGCATTCATCTTGTTATTGGATTGATTGTACGCCGTGTTTAGGCTCTATCCGTAAACGAATCGGCTCCGAAATGGATTCGGGACGCAGGTGAAAGAGTTTCATCACTTCTGAAAGCTAATCTGAAAGCGAAAAGGGATGAAAAAGAAAGACGAGAGCGCGTCATGCTGAGTGTTTTTGAAACGAATCCAATTTTCAAGAGTAGACCCCAACAGGATGGAGCTATGGATTGCCTCACTGCTCACTGAACCTTGTTTGTTCTTTGCCTGTTCTTGTTAACGGTTCTTGTTATCGATCACTTTCCCGTGTTTTTTTATGTGTGAATATCAAATCGTTATAAATGATCTCGAATTGTTACGAATACGCGGTGAAAGGACCGGTTCTCTATCCATTTATTGTCATTGAACAATATCAGCAGCACCATATTCGCGTTAATAGTAAAGTTATTCATACAATATTTATACAATAAAGAAACTAATCATTTAATCTTATATAGATTACTGACATTAAAGTCTGTAGTTCTGAATATTCCTGCCGTGTGATTGTGTACTTTTGGAAAGTGAATATCGGCCAACACTCGTCGTACTTCGATTTCGAATTCTGTAATAGAGATTCCTCTTTTGAAAGATTCCATTTTCAAGCTGAGCGAAGAGATAGCATTTTTTGTGTTTCCCAGTGGGAATCAGCTTTATCTGTTACCAGCAAACTTTTGCAGTGAAAGGACCGGTTCTCTATCTGTAGTGGAACGCGGAGCCTAAGACCCCAGTGTTGCCCTCTTGGTAGAGCGTTTTATGGTGGCTATAAAAGAAATGATGCAGTCTCAATGTTAAAATGGGAGAAATTACGACAATACATAAAAATGGGAAAATTCCCACGGGTAATTGTTGTGGAAACAAGCCTGCAAATGAGTGGATACCATACATGGCTCCTCATAACAAAAAGAAAGAAATCAGCAAGACGGCTGACTCGGTTCCATCAAGATGGGCGGCTAGTCCTTGTGAACCGTGGAATGAGCAGAGATCGGATCTTGAAGATTTTCTTAGCTGGATAAGAAATTTAATTCTTCTATTCTTAGGTTAATTTTTCCGATTTCTATAAAAATTCCCTTCTCCCTAGATCTTATTAGCCTTTCCATGGGATTTAATCTATTGTACGCGGTGGTGAGGAACGAAAGGTGATCAAGGCTTACCTGTAGCATTGATACGTCCATCATGATTAAGGTCTGCACATTTATAGCCCTCTTTGAGAATATCCATTTGAACTTTGGTCATTTTACGGACATGTTCCTTCCAATGTTCCAAGACCTCTTGGAGTGTCACCAGCTCATCTTTATCTGTGTCTATATCCTGTAATAATGAAAACCTAAATCTCAGGAAAGCTTCCACAAAACTGATCCCCTCAAAAAAAAAAAAAATTCAATACGAAAAGCCTTTCAAGCAGATGGGTTTGTTTTCCTTAACTCGGATGAACCGCATTGTTTTTCATTAATCGTTGAGTCCTCAGACTGTGGAGGGCTTGGCGAAAAACAAATACTCATAATTGTTATAATTACGGCCGAAAATAACAGACAATATCAAACAATTGCGAAAAAAAAANAAAAAAAAACAATCAATATGCATAAAATGTAAACTGCTGAAAAAGATTAGTTCAAAAATTGTTAAGGTTCAAAAAAAGTAGATATAGTGGAATGGTGGATACTAGAAAAAGAAAGCGTACATGAACTCCAAAATAACTGATAGGACTTGATTTGGTTTGAATTCCGGAAAGGGGAAGGAAAAAGAGGTGCCCGAAAGACAGTTTCATCTACTTTTTGTTAGGATTGATTTCGGAAGTAAACCTAGTTTTCTTCTTTTTTTTCTCTAAGTAGAACTAAATTTCTACCCCAAGTGAAGTCCTCGTCAGAAAATCAGAAACAGGCTGGCCTGCTTTGTTTGCGTATTCATTCCTTTAAATTGATCTCAAAATGGATTTCCCCAGTTAGTGAGCATGGATGAGGTTCTCCCTGGAGATTTCAGCACCATATTTCACAAAAAATTACGAGACTTAATTCCTGTAAGAGCTGTACTAATTCATGTTCATTATTCAATATAAGTAAATTCAGTAGATAAATAAATAAACAAACAAATGAATAAGTAAATACAACACTCACATGGAATTCCTTCACAATAGATTTGTGAAGTTTCTGATTCACAATGGTCGAGGACGATGCAACCATAATGAGTAACAGAGGGTAAATAATAACAGCACAGTGGCAAGAGGTCATCTGGCAAGTACAGCTATGAAGAGAAATGTCATACTAACAAATCACTGATGAGAAAAATTTTTGAAGAAGGAATTACTACAGAAAAAAAAATCCCAAAAAAAGTGTCTGGTGCTGATGAGGTGATCCTGTGTTCAAGTGTGTATATTTTTTTATTTTATTTAAAATATAATTATGGTGTATTTATAAAGCACTTTTTATTAATAAATGTGAATCATTCCCCTGAATTTTTTTTCTGAAAATTTAGCTTCATATCTTGCAAATCTGTTGTAAAAGCACGTTCATGAAAAGTTCATTTTTACAACCTCTTATCGATATATCCGAAGCAACTCATCGTATTTTATTATTTCCCTTTTCCGATCATTTGATAACCACCCACGTAAGACCTTAGACACCTAACATCTGACCCAATATGGACCCGAAACTTTATATACAATCTTGTAGGCATTTAGCATTTCAGCGGTTTCAATGATCAATCGAGTGCGTGGCTCATTCTAGCAGTGCGAAATATTCGTTAAATTTCCAATATTTTAGTACTATTCACTTATCGGTGGATAATGCTAAGTAGAAGTATGTAAGCAAGGAATAAAGGTTCAACAGAATATGCAGAATGAACTGATTTGTAGGGAGACTTTGAGACCGCTGACGATGTTGTGACTTTGTCATATTGATAGTTATTACTGTGATTGAAATGATGAGGAATGCTATCGAATCATTTGATAAACAAAGTGACGGTGCCTGATTTTTACACTGCCCACTACTCTACTGAACCTATCACAGGGTTAGATAGAACAGCGAAGCCCACGTGAGTAGAGAAAGTTGGAAAGAAACTCTTGAAGGTGATGGGTATAAGACGGAAATAGCAACTGGCGCCAAAACAATCGGTAACGATGGATTGGGAGATCAGTCAGTACTAGGGCACGAGGCCACATTACAGCGGGACCGTACCAAATATTACAAAAATATCACAAATTAAGCATATTTTGTTCAAAATGTCATGCATTTTGGACAGACTTTCATATTCGACAGAAATTGGGCATCATTTGATGTTTGTCCCAGTTGGAGGTGAAATTGTTCCGACGATATGGGATAGGTGCTGCAGAACCCGTTTAAAAGAACGAAATCAGTGACTTGGGTACCTCACTCTAGCCACTGGCTAGAGTGGAGTACGCAGTCGCTTTCTTATATTTTCCTACTATTGGGAATGCCAACGAAGGAATCGGACCGGCCTACACGTCACCGTGTCACCTTCTGTTAGAGGTGCTTGCCTTTCTTGTTCCAGCTATTTCTGATTATTTTCAATCAATTTGATTTTTACTAAATTACATCCATGAACCGAAGCGACCCCTTTCTCTTTACTACCGAATTGGTCAGCTCGAACATGAAATTGCATGATGGCAGCGAATGTACTCATGAAGTGGTATCTTCCTAATTTGAATTGAAGGTTAGTTGAGTGGATGGAGGTGCAGTAGCAACCGACGTATTATCATATTGAATTATGGCACGTTTATACCGTGGGTTTTCTGCCCTGTCCGAGCTCTTCTGCATCTATATACATATGTGCTTTTCATAACATTCACTAATCTGAAAACTCACCACCTCTTCACCTCCACCTTTAGCATTCACGTCAGTCACATGGTGAAATCCTAGACTCCAGCCCGATCCAGGCAAAATCAGGACAGAAAATTTCAGGATCTAAGTATCACGGTAATCACTAAAATCGGTGTTAAGTGGGATTATCTGAACCGTTCATTGCTTGCGCTAGTAATTTTGAAGCTTCCAATCAGCTAGTAGCGAGGTTATGTAGGCTACGTCTAGCCGATCTCGCAATCAAGGTCTTTCAGGGCGTGGGACGCTTTTTGAAAATGGTGTTTTGCATGGTGTTGGGGCATAAGAACTGAGTATATAACTATGGTCCATTTCCGCTAAATGGCCTTCTGAATGTCAAAAAAGAGGTGAAAAAGGTCGACGACAGCTTCCATCGGATAGGAACCACATTATAGGGCTTGGACCCCCATTACAACACTTATATAGTGTGAAATTAGAAGACACCTTCATACTCCTGGGAGTGTGAACCTGGAAGCTCCTCCACTGATAGTGCTCCACACAACAAATTCTAATGGTTTGCCGAGGTTATGTGCCTGGCTGGTCCTGATCACGACCATGACCAGCCTTGCTTTGGCCCTGGTGCAATATGGAGCCAATCTGGAGGTGGCAGCATAAAATGCAAAAACGGCAAAGCCTAGTAAGTCCGAACCATCAACCCATCCTAGTCCTCCTTCCTCGAAGTCCACATCGCTGTCCACCAAACCATCCGTCGCTGTTAGCACTGCACCCGTGGAGAGCCTATATATAACTTCCACGCACTTTTCAACATGTGGGTCCCTTTCTTGGCCACCTTTCACGTGATTTTCAATGTCGCCTCCACTGGCCCCCTTCTACTGTGCGAACAGTCAACGCCATGACTGAAACGAACGACGCTTAGTGGGTTAAAACGGCAATTTTTGGCAAAATCTTTTTCACTCTTTTTTGGCATTCAGGCCATTTAGCGGAAATGGACCATAGTTATATACTCAGTGCTCATGCCCCTACACCATGCAAAAAACCATTTTCAAAAAGCGTCCCACGCCCTGAAAGACCTTCCTTGTCAGATCTTTTTCAGCTCGAAGGAATTTTGGAAGATTAGCGCGTAAACGTTAGCCTCAACAAGCGGCAGTGGTTCCGCTGAGACTACACTACTCTTCCACTGAAAATTCGGATCTTCTACTTCTCAGCGCGCGACTGCGCGATTAGGTGCGGCGAGCGCGACGCGATTTTCGGGGGGAAGTTACTACACACCTCAAGAAGTACCCAGCAGGGCTAAATCTGAACATCACCATTTACTTTTTTTTGGGAAGATTTTGAGTTAATCAGAAAACTCTAGACGTGGCAGCTGGTTCAATTAAGGTCCACTAAATGCAGCTAAATTAATTAGAATGACAGCAAAGTGTTTCTTATCCGATGGGAGGCGTTCACAAACAGCACACTGTCAAATACACAAATTTTTCATTGAAAACCAGAAAGGCACAGCAAACAGGCATTCCTACAGCGTCTCACAATTTTTAAACGAACTGAAACCTCTGTAAACAGCCTTAGAACTAATTTTTATCCATTTATGACTCAACTTGAGGAAAAACTTCGAAAATCAGTAGAAAAGCATGCTCATGCTAACTAATCTATTTTTTACAAATTTCCACTTATGCTTGAAACTTATTATCACATATAATTAGCAATCAATTCTTTAATACCCATTGAAAGCCCCGATAAGGAACGATTCAAGAAATGCTAGCTACTTATGAATGATATTCTCTACGGATTATACCAATCTAGGAACAAAAGCGTGAAGGTGATGACGATTATACAGAAAAGCACAACCACACGTCGTCCTGCTGAATTACTGATCGCCTGAAACATACATTTCATGACATTTCAAAACCAAAACTGTCCTCTCCCCGACCCCCATTCTTTCAAGCTTAAAGGCACAGTTCAAGATAAAGATGGTTCCTACGACTTCCCCTGGGGCTATCCAGCGGCCCCTAAGGATAACACAAAGGACGCTGTCGGGACGAAAAACTTAATAGATGGGGCAGAATATGAACCCCATTCGTCGACGTCCACGCTATCGACTAATAATGTTTCAGATGAGTGTCGAGGGTTTACAGGTTGCGCTATTCGCACCAGGACCCACACTCACGCTACTTACTATGACCTATATTGTATAGCTGTCCAAGCCGTTCTACTTCAATTTCTCATCTTATTCTCGTTCAGCCCCTTTTTAATACTTTTTAGATGCCTTTCACACTTTGGAAACACCGATTTCCAAGTTTTCTTCCCCACCATCGCACTATTCTCAAATTTCGCTTTCATTTTTCGTTATAATCTGAAAAACCCGAAATGATCGTGAACTGTGCCTTTAATTGTTTCCCAGTTACACTACCTGACGGATCCATTCATTGCCATCCTTCAAATTCTCTGACGTATGCAGCGCAGCTTCGTTGATAATCTCAATATCCTTCTCTTGATCCATTATCTTAAAAGGAGGACATATTCGCCAGTAACAAGCAAAATACGTCCCTGTTACCACGCAATATTTACCAACAGTCAATAATCATACCTTTTCGGCAAACGTTTCCTGAAGCCGTTGAATTTCGGAGATCTGCGTTTCGAGTCCCTCAATTTGGGAATGCATATGGGTATATCGCTCGTATAGTGTTTCGTTTTCAGCCATCAACTGAGTACGTTCTTGAGGTGTGAGGGAAGAATCAAGGTCTGCAATGTTTGTTATGAATATGCATGAGAAAAGTCCAGCTCCGACAATCACACCCTTCCCTTAGATACGTTGTCCCCTTGAATATTCTGCTGACAATCAAGAAACTAAATAGCACCATCTTCGTTATGCTTCTGCTCCAAATCGAGCGTAGCCGCTCCCAAATCCCATCCATCATGAGAAACGCCATCAGGTTTATCGTGTGGCAGCACCGACTCAACAGCCAAATTGACGCCTTTCTGGGCGTCATCTGTAATTAGGATAACTAGGATGAAAGCAAAAATGTATGGGTAGAAGCGCCTACTACAGTGCATGGTACTAATAGATTATAGTTTATCAAGACTGCTTAAAACCAAAAATATTGGGTTGATGCATAATTATTATGAATTTCTTTCAACAAATTCTACCAGAGAAACGAAAAAAAAAAACTAAACAAAGACATAACCCCGAACAGATAATTACTTCAGATCATAGTTATTATTCTAATCAAGCACTGCTTTCCATTTGATGGGCATCGGTCGATTCCATGAGAGAAAAGTTCTGTTTCTCGGAGACGGCTTACGCTTTGACATCGGCCACCAAGTCATCCATTTCGCCGTAAATTCTGTTCACTATCCAATTTTTCAACGGACAGTTGAAGAGATAATTCATGGGGGCTCTGTCGGATTATTTCTATAAAAATCCCGAATCCAATATTCAAATTGTGTCGAGAGAAAAAAAAAACCGCGATAAAATCCGCAATATACGCATCGACCTGATATAATCTAAAACACAAAAGGTTGGCCTTTGACGCTGATCATTCTCGTTCTAGGATGCGCCCCAGCATTCACGCAGGGATGATCAAATGCATATGTGGTCTATACAGAACTGAGGAACTAGCCGATATAAAGAACAGTGTGTTCATGCTCCCAGACGAGTCTGGTGAAACTTATCCTACTGCGGAGGAACGAAAAGCTGATTCTACCTGGTCGGGTGTGAAGCCGAAATTCGATCCATGAACAATGCGTCTGATAACGCACCACTTGGCACATTGCCATCTTATGATTAGAAAAACTGCATGAACTGTGTAATCTACTTTGTAGTTTGGTCTGCTTCCTCTTCATTAGTTTGTCTATTTATTTGGGTCGAAGATGCTGAGCACCCGCTGGTAACTGCCCACAAATAAATGGCGCTCATCGGTCTTTGGTAAGTGGAACGCTATTATAAAGGTCTTCCTTTCGTATTTGTAAAAGTTGCCCGCCTTGTACGTTGGCAGCCACCCAATAAGATGTAGGCCTTACAGGAGTCCAAGTTTCCAAGGAGTACGTCAGAGCGGGAAAACAGGAAGGACAGCAGTGTCAAAAAAGTGAGCGCGAATTCGGTGTCTTTTCTCACCACTTTCACGATACTCTGAATGCTCCCCATTTACACGATACGATATCTGGACACGTAGCTAGAGCTTCAGAAGATATTCGTTCCGTCTAACGTAATGGGAGCATCAGGTACCGATCCGTTCAGCAACAGCATCGTCTTCGCTAAGTTCAGTCTCCAGCCGGTCTTCCCAAAAGCGCTATCGGATTCCGCCAGCATAGCAGAAAGAGGTCAGAAAAATACAAGTAACAAATGATCTTCAGCATCTTCGCGGATATCCCCTTCGGCGGTTAATCTCGACAGCGGCAATTATGAAGCCTTCAATCCCGGATTTACTGGGATATATTACAAGCTCTGGCTTCTTACACCATATGTGATGAGAACCCACCTAACCATCATCACCTGATCTGGATTCCTCTTAAGATTTCACTTTTATTAACTAATTGATTTTTTTTATTTGTAAAAAATTATTTTATCAATTTATGCAATTAAAAGTTTTTACAGATAATTAAAATATAAAAAGAAATAAAATAAAATGATTACACTTACGATGCCCTCTCCTTCTGAACTGGATGTCAGGCGAAAAAGAGCGAGCGAAGACCATCTCTGGATTATTAGCTTGTTTTTCCTTATCTCGTTTCTGCTTCGCTTCAACGAGATTGTATAGACGTTGCACTTTCTGCTGTTGTGCAGCATTCCGTACACGAAGAGCTCTGAAGAAAAAAATATTAAATTACCTCGCAAGACCAACTCCAAATTCAATTGCGAAAAAGATCACTGTCACATTTGGATCACACTTCCCCTCGTGAAATCCGACTAAACATACTGAGCCAGTCAACCTTCTATTCATCCTCCACTTAAATCCATTCGTAGAGATCCTCCCTGCCAATTTCACCTTGTGGAGCGCCACGCAGCCCAAACCTAGCCAAATGTTGCAAAAAGAGAGTCAAATTAAAAATTGACGCCATACTTTAATGCAACCAGCACATGTACAGTTTAGAAGGCCACATACCAACCTGGCATCAA